CTGAAGTGAGGATGGTGACAGAAGGGGGGACGAGCCGCCTCGCCTTCCTCTACTGTCCTGTCGATCCGGATCTGTCCCAGCCTGGGCAGCTGAATTTAGCAGGACAAACAGTTCAGAAATGTGAGAAATCCCACTACTCTTTAGGCATAAAATCCAGGCACTCACTCAAGGGTTTTTTACCTGGCTGAGGTGAGGATGGGAGGCTCCGCTCTCCTGCAGAGCACGTGGTTTCAGCGGGTCAGTTCCTCATTAAGTGATGCCTCCCGCAGGGCCTGTGCTCTGAACTCTTCCTTCCTCCTTAGGAGAGCCGCTGCAAATCGATCACCTGGTTTTCGTGGTGCACGGGATCGGCCCAGCATGCGACATTCGGTTCAGGAGCATCATCCAGTGCGGTAGGTGTGGAGCCCGGCCGGGGTGCTCTTTCCGTACGCTGCTTTTAGCGGAGCCAGTAAACCCTCATCTGCATGGACAATGTGAAACACTGTCAGAGCGCATTCAAACTGTTCCGACACTCACGTTGGCAAGCCGCATGGTCAAATTTGCTGACTGCAATGGGGAGCGTGAATGCAACACTCACTAACCCATTAAATCCTACCATCTGGAAAGGTTTGCGCAACCACTTTTCATCACTGTGTTTTGCTGCTGCTCGAAATAGTGAGTTTCCCAAATTGGATACAGATTTTCCAAGTAACTGTCTAAACCTGCTAAACTAATTAGTAACCTGCTCAGTCTATTGCTACGGGTTAATCTCACTGGGTAAAATCTACCAGGCAACACCCCGTCCAGCAGCCTCTGGAGTGATTTTGGACTAAAACCAGGGGCGCTTGCTTCTGGCTCAGGAAATTCCCAAGCTGCAAATGCCTGGAGGTTAGGAGAGCGTGCGAGAAGCGTCGCTGGTCTTACACACTCCCCTAAGCAGCCACTGTTGATCAATATTGGAGACGGGGTACTAAACCAAGTAACTCTAGTCTGACCTGTTCATTGTTATTTGCCCAGAGTGCTTCAGTTCTGTAGGACAGGGGATCGCTGAAACTGCCTGGAAGCCTGACGTGATTTAACTTGTAGAAACCAAGGGAGCTGAGATTTTTCACAGACTGTGTTTAGTTCCTATAAAATATACCTTTGCTTTAACGCAGCGTGTTCTTCTATATGTTCATCTGATGAAACTATTTTCAAGGCTGCCGACCATTTGAAATGAAGGAAATCAGCCTTTCTCCCTCAGAACTGAGTAATTTCAAGTCCATCTCCTCCCTTGGGACTCCCTTTCTAACACATGCATCTTCGCAACAGATTTATTTTTTTTCAATTCCTAAAAGTACCTTTCTTATTCTGACTGCTGTGTTAAAGCCCTGCCCATGTGGAAAGGAAGCTTGTTACAGATGGGACAGTGAAATCCAGTACACACGCACACATAAGGATGTGGAGCCTTCCCCTGATCTTGTAGTTAAAGATTCAAGGTCTTAGGGTAGCAGCAGCAGATTAAAGACCCTGGTGGGATTTCCCCTGGTAATGATCTTTTCTTTTATCTTATTAAGTGTTGTTGATGCAGCAGGCTTGCCCTGTAGCCTGGTGGATCTCGGTAAGAGTTCATGCTCTTTTCCAGTGAATGACTTCAGGAATGTTTCCCTAAGCATGCTGCAAGCGCACTTCAAGAAAGCCCAGGAGCAGCAGCAGATCGGCCGGGTGGAGTTTCTACCTGTGAACTGGCACAGCTCCCTCCACTCCACTGGGGTGGACGTGTAAGTGTCCCCGACAGCCGTCTCCTCTGGTGCCAGCGTCCGTGGGAACGGCAAAGCACACAGCTGGCCTCCTCCCACCTAAACTGTGCTTTTTCTGGTGGTTACTGCAGGCAGAGGGAAAGCTGTGAGCGTTTAGGGCTGTGAGCACGCAGGGGTATGCAGGACAGACGGGGTCCCCTAGAGCACCTCTGTGCCAGACCCCGTCTCCACCGTCTTTCCGCAGCCCTCTTTTGCAGAGCACAGCAGGTGCCTGCTCCGATCAGCATCCAGCCGGAGAGGAAAGGCTTCTGCCTTTCCCTGGCTAATATTGGGAGGGACCATGGACATCCACGCCTTGCCAAAGGCCTCTGGAAACCGAGTACCCAGTTTCTGCACTCAAGCACTGCTCCCCCCTAGGAAGGGGAGAGAGCAGGTTAGGCTCCTGCGGAAGGAAGGCCAGGCTCCTTACTCCTGCCTGGAGTGCTGGAGCACAGGCTGTGCTCTGCCTTCGGTCTCGGCACGAGCTGAGGGCCTGGATTACAACATTATGTCCTTTGAGACGGTGGCAGTCCTTCTCTGAACTTACATTTTGCTTTAGAAACGTGGTGGGGTTCACTGGCACCCCTAACTGCAATTCCCTCTCTCCTCTTTTCCCCCTCCATAGTGACCTGGAGCGAATCACTTTGCCAAGCATCAATCGCCTGCGTCACTTCATCAACGACACCATCCTGGATGTTTTCTTTTATAACAGCTCCACCTATTGCCAGACCATCGTGGACACGGTGGCATCCGAAATGAACCGCCTGTACCAGCTCTTCCTGCAGAGGAACCCGCTCTTCAAAGGGGGGGTCTCCATTGCGGGGCACAGCTTGGGTAAGGGGTTTCACTCGCAGGTCCCGTGAGTCTCACCGTACCGCGGGAGCAGGGAGGGTACTGGTCTTTTGTCCCAAAAAGGAGATGGCTCGTGGCTTTTCCCCGATGAGATGCTGATGCTCTGTCTGCCTGCGCCTGGTTTCTAGGGTCACTCATTTTGTTTGATCTCCTGACGAACCAGAAGGCCGCTCCCGAGGAGGATGAGCACAGCAAAGAGGTACGCGCTCTCCGGCGGCGCACAGACCCGTGGGGTGCTCCCGCAGCGCTTGCACGGGTAGCTGCGCCGCTGCGGCGTCACACTGACCTCCTGCTTCTATGGCTGCCTGGGGAAGGGGGAGAGACTCCAAAATGCACAGGAGAAAATAAGTGAGCAAAAAGCATGATCCCCGATGGCTCTATTCACAGGGGTCCAGGACAACCTCAAGCAACAAGGGTATTGAGGAGGTAACAGAAATCCTGACGAAGCTGGAGTTGTCCGAATATTGTGATGTTTTTGAGAAGGAGAAAATGGACAGGCAAGCACTGGTAAGGAGCTCTCCTGTTTTGCTGTCTGTGTTTCTTTGTTGCTTTTCTTCCCAGTCCTCCCACCCTATGCACATCTTCCTGGTACTGAGTCACTCTCCCAAGAAACGTCTCTGAGGAGTGCAGCAGGAACAGAATTACAGAGAACAGAAATACCTCACCGCACACACCTCTCCGCTCCTGTACTAATATCTGGGTTGCTTATTTTCCAGTTCTTGTGCACAGAGGAAAACCTTAAAGAAATGGGAATTCCCTTAGGACCAAGAATGAAGATACTTCATTACATCAGCTCCAAGACGGAGATGCAGGTTTGTCTTCTGCGTGGCTTGTGTTCATCCAGGTCGCATCCCATCGCTCTCAGACAAGGACCAGCCTTACGATCAGTCCCCGAGCACCCCGACCTCCTCGTTCCTGGCCATCCTTGCTCAGGAGGCTCTCACGGGCTTGCGTTTGGCTGTGGCAACAGAGCTGCTTACTGCTTCTGCATGTTACGCTGGCGTTACCCTACTGCAGGATCACTTTATCCCGTGGCCTCTAAGGGTGATCACAGAGCGGGAGGACTCGTTAATGGTGGTAGAGACTGAAGTTGGTGATGCCGGCTAGAGAGGTGGCTGGCTGGAGTAGGATGATGCTGCCAAGACTGCCCTGGTTCTGGAGGATAAGGGATGCTGGGCAGTTTGCTGCCTCGCGTACTTGCTCACGGGCGGGTAGGAAGGGCCGTGGCGTGGGCTCGCTGCAGGAGCTGCGCTAGCGGGGTTTCCCATTTGTGTTGCTGCAGGACCAGAGAGCAGCAGCTCCCAGGCACAGCAGGGAGCGGGGAGCCGGGCCTGGGTCCCCATCAGACCCAGACAGTACAGACGATGGCAAGAATTGCCAATACCGAGACGTTGGCTTAGGACAGGTAACTACCGAGCTCGACGCCATGCTCTAACTGCAACAACAAGGTGCTCGTAACACCAGCATGGAGTTTGTCTCATGAAACAAATCTGAATTTCCCTCTCTCCTAGGTCTCGGCAAACTATCCTCAGCTGAACTACAAGCCCACCATCTTCTTTGCTTTTGGGTCTCCCATCGGGATGTTTCTCACGGTGCGAGGAGTGAAGCGGATCAACCCAAACTACAGCCTGCCCACCTGCAAAGGCTTCTTCAACATCTTCCACCCTGTAGGTATAAGAGCCAGAGCCTTCCTGCGTGAGACATGCAGAGCGTGAGCCCTGGCTCACTGTCCCCCTCCTCCATACAGTTTGACCCGGTGGCGTACCGGATTGAGCCCATGATCGTCCCAGATCTGGAGTTTGAGCCCATGCTGCTGCCCCACCACAAGGGCAGGAAGAGAATGCACCTCGGTAAGGGAAAGGGCAGCCCCTCTCCCCCTGCCCCGGGCAGCTGCTGCAGCCCCCAGCCCGACGCCGACCCCTCCTGCCTTTCAGAGCTGAAAGAAGGGCTGACTCGCATGAGCGTGGACCTGAAGAACAACTTGCTGGGGTCCCTGCGGGTAGCCTGGCAGTCCTTCACTCGAGCCCCGCTGCCAGCCGTCGAGGCGGCGAGTACCGACACCGAAGCGGAGGCCGAGGCCGGCACGGAGAAGCAGCCAGGTGGGTGGTGCGTGCGGGGCGGTGGGGAGCCAGGGATGCGGCACTGCGAGCTGCCCACGGAGCAGCGTGCTCGGGCTCCCTGCAGCCATGCCAGCGAGGTGCCCATCCTGGCGTCCAACCCAGGCGCTGCTGCCCTCTTCTCTGCTCAGCAAAGGGATTGCCTTTGAGCTGCGGATGCATTTGGCTCTCCAAATGCTGTGGCCTTCCCCTGTTATTGCCTGATGAAGGGGGAGAAGAGGCAACCTGCCTGGTCAGTAACGGCCTCCTGGGGGTCTCAGCACACCACGTCGCTTTGTAAGCCTGCCAAGCCTGTCACCCTTCTCTAGCTGCCTCTTGCAGTAGTTTTCCTGGAGAAGTCTGGAGAAGAGGAGGCTGAGGGGAGACCTCATGGCAGTCTACAGCTTCCTCACAAGGGGAAGAGGAGGGGCAGGCGCTGATCTCTTCTCCCTGGTGACCAATGATACCCAAGGGAAGGGCAGGAAGATCCGCCAGGGGAGGTTTAGGTTGGATATTAGGAAAAGGTTCTTCACCCAGAGGGTGGTGGAGCACCAGAACAGGCTCCCCACAGAGGCAGTCATGGCGCCAAGCCTGACAATATTCAAGAAGCATTTGGACAGTGCCCTCAGACACATGGGGTGAATTTGGGGGTTGTCTTATGGGGGGTCAGGAGTTGGACTCGATGATCCTTGTGGGCCCCTTCCAAGTCAGGGCATTCTGTGATTTCCAAGAGAGAGCCCTGGGGGAGGAAGGACCGAGCACTTAAGCTGCCTCTCCTCTGCAAGAGCCCACAGCGGGGTGAAGGGAGGGCACAGTGATGCTGTTGTACTTTCATGGCTGCTCGTGCCCCCTGGCTGAACCACATTGCTCTTCTTCATTCCTTCAGAGACAAAGCCAGATGAGAGCCCCACAGCAGTGAAGGAAGAGGCCTCCCTCATTAACGTGGGGAGGCTGAACGGAGGGAATCGCATAGACTACGTGCTGCAGGAGAAGCCAATAGAGAGCTTTAACGAGTATTTATTTGCACTACAAGGGCATCTCTGCTATTGGTAAGCTTCTGCATAACCATCAAAGCTTCAGATTCATGTCTGATGTAAGCAGAACACCATCATTTTTAAAACCAATGTAATAAGAAAAGCCTTAACTGAATAAACAAGATATGCTCCTGCCTATAATGCAGGCACAGCGGGTGGGCGCGGAGGAGGGAGACCGGTGTAGTTCTCCTTGCCTAGTACTGCCTGCACTTGCTGAGCACTGCATCTATCCCATAACCATCACGGATGTCCTGGCAGAGCGGAGGGAAGTGTCCCCCTCTAATTCCCATGTCCTCCTCCTCCTCCAGGGAGTCGGAAGACACCGTTCTGTTGGTTCTGAAGGAGATCTACCAGACACAAGGCATTACACTGGATCAACCTTTGCCAGGGAGCCAGTGAGCAACCTGTGCTGTTCTGGCCGCTTGATGTAAGTCCTCTTGCCTACGCCTTCCTTCCGAATTTCCTAGGACACCTCAGAGGACATCTGGTCTCTTTGAGGGCATAATATTCCTTATTTACAGCGCTATGTCCAAGGCAGGAGTTTGCATCGGGTTCTTTCTTTGGCCTGTCAGCATGTTTGGCTTCTTTCCTCTTATCCTGCACATAAGCACTACCAGACCTGAGGAGAGCTAATAAACTGCTGCTGCTAACGATAAGGGCAGCAGCAACTGTGCACAGTTATGATCAGTTCAGTCCACCAAGGGAACGACCAGATGCGTGGCCCGTACTCCAAGCCTCCTGGGCTAAATGTTTCTTATAGACAGGTAGTGAACCAGAGCGTGGACCCTGCGGTTCTTGCAGGGGTGCTTTCACCCTTTGCTGCTAATTTCTGGCCGAGGGTAGACTGGGGGTAAGGCGCATGCTTATGTTTTCTTGCCCTCAAAGCCTAACGCTGGTAATCGCTGGGTATGGGAGGCGGGGCTGGGTGGATTTCAGTCTGCCCGAGTGCAGCTACTCCTACGTTCTCCTTTTGCTTTCTTAGATCCAATTCAACTGAGTACTCACCAGGAAAGTCCAGATTTCTTCTCTGCCTTCCTCTCTCCTCTGCTGCTGTGTCTCCCGCATGCCGCTTCCCAAGTACTTGCTGCTACCTGGAGATAAGGATGATTTTCCTCCATTTTGGGTAGGGGCGGGGGGAAAAAATATCAAGGGGAAACACTTCTGCTCAAACACACCCACCACTTGCACTATGACTCCCTGTGGCAACGTGTACTTTCAACCCTCCACCTTGTAAGTTATCACACTAGCTCCTCTAGCACCGAAGCAGACTAGCTGTCTGGGCTAGAACTGACACGGAGGGCCTGACTCTGCTCCTGGCATAGCGAGGAAACTCGCAGCTTGTGACCTTGAGGAATAAAAGCCTTAAACACGCAGCATGGAGAGAGCTATAGCAGCCTTGTCGGGCGAAGGAGATCGCTGACTTCTCCCTGCCGTAACACAGAGCACCAGGCGCAAGGACTGCGGTCTTTGGGAGGTGAAGCCCAGGGCACAGGCGTCTGCTGTTAAGCGAGCAGGAACGCGTCTACCAGCCATTCTCATCTCCTTGAATTGCTGCTGCGTGGTTTGTGCACCCATGGGTCGTGCCAGGCAGGACTGCCCCCATAAAACAGCTCGCGAGCACGGCATGTTCGTGCGCACCTGACCCAGGCACTCCTGCCTGCTGTAGCGACTTCTCAGCATCCTCACCCAGCGTGCGGCAGCCAACAAACCATGGGCATCCCTGAGGCCCTGCCTGCACCTTCCGTAGGACCAAGCTGGCGGCCAGGTGTAACGATAGGGGAGGAAAGCTTCACCTCCAGGTCAAACTACAGCTGTTCTGGGGGAAAGCAGCTGCTCCTCAGCAGCGTCCAGGCCATTCGGAGGCCTGGAGGGACTCTGTGCTTTGCAGGGGCATGGAGCAACGCTACCGTCCTGCTGCAGTGTGGCTTTCAGGGTGGCTACAGGGATCTCAGGCCAGCCAGGCTCCAGTCATTGTTTTTGGCTTTAAATACACAAAATGCAGCCAGCAAAGTCAGAGCCCAGATCCGTAGAGAGACTGCGTCCCAGTGACCCCACTGAAGAAACGACACCGGCTCTGCAGGCGGCTCAGCCTGCAGGTGCCTGCGGCGTGCTAGCTCTGCGCCAAGGGGGACGGGGCCGAGGGTTCCCCCTTCGCACCCAACCCACCCAGGCCGACTCACTGGCTGGGCTGAGGCCGCGGCCTCGGGGCAAGGCAGAGGCAGAGGCTTCAGTCATGTGTGAGGTCGTTGCTGTGACAGCCTTTGGAAAGAGCCAGACCAGTTTCCCTCCCGCTGACTTTTGCCCTGCATGGGGTAAGGAGCCTTTTTTCCACAGCCTGTTTGTTTGTCCTCTGTTGTGCTACATTATTTGCACTGTTTGAAAGGTTTTGTTTGCAGCCTACAACCCTCCTCCCATCCCAAAGGAACTGAAGCTGTTCTTTTACCTGACTGCAGAAACAGACATGCTGCTCGGTCGGCGCCTGAACTACTGATTGCTAAAGCATCTCCTACAAGAGTAGGAAAAGGAACAGTCTTAACACGGGACACTCTCATGATCAGCTTTTTAAGTTATGCACTTTGTAAAAAAAAAAAAAATAGAAGTTAAATACATTTTAAATGTTATTTAATGTCTTTTCCAGTAAACGCCAAAATAAATACGTAGATGACTGTGGTGTGTGCATGTTTGGGGGGAGAGGGAGGGAAGGGGTTTGAAGAATTCACATGTGCACAACTGTAGGGGAAAGTAAAGCGATTTCTGTAACTTCTGTTGAAGTTGCAGGGTCGCAGAGGGCTTACGTGGCCCAAACCGAAGATGATGGGGTGGTGTTTTCATTACTGTCATGTCCTGAGCTTGGCAGAGGCACGCGTGCCTCGCTCTGCTACAGCCTCGCCTTTGCCGTTTGCACGTACACACACCTGATGAAGAATACACACACCTACGGAGGAGACTAGTGACAAATAACTACTTACAACAGTCCTGCCATACAGCTGCGCCTTGGATTTCTCAGCAGCACTCTACCCTTCCATTGTCTGAGAAAGCAAACCGCGGTGTAGAGAAACAAGCACCTCTGAGGGGATGCTTTCAGACACCATTTCGTTTTCTGCTGATTGTCATCTCTTTACAACCGTATTAAAGCTGCAAGGAAAGAGATACAAAATAAACACCCACCTAGAAACCCCTGCAAGCACGCCAAAGGAAATGGTTTATACAGCCATAAACCCAGTCCTTGAAGTAAAGTTTTTAGTACCACAGCTCATTAAAAAAATTAAACTCCTTTATTTGGCAAATCAGAAGAAAATCAGGGCTAGCACAATAACACAAATAATAACCATGCCAGTTTCATCTTCCCTCTCCCCCACTTAATCCACGGTTAAAGACTGCAACCTTGCACTCATTACTCCAAATTAGCTCAGCTGCGATTGAAAAGACGGACTTAAACCCGGCGCCAGGAGCAGGTCCTCCATTTCGACGTACGCTTCCTGCGGGAAGGGATGGGACAGCTCGGCTGGATGGAAGGGAGGCGACTGATGGTACTTTCTGGACTGGGCACAAGAACGCCCACCGGACAGGGCACACCAGATTGTCACGTTTTTCCAGTTCGTGCTTCAGCACCTTTCGTACTCAGGCTGTCCTCCCACAGGCTTGCACACCGAGCGCCTCGCTCACTTCGCAGCAGGCCCGAAGGGAGGAACGCCTACAAAATTCAGTTAACGAAGCAACACAGGCCCCTGCGCGGGACAACTTACCAGCACTGCAGGGAACGCCTGCTGGGGTTTCAGGTTCATCCTCATTTGAGCCACTTCTTGCAGACCAACCTCCCCAAAGCCTTCCCCTCCGCTAGCACTCCAGGAGCAGCAGGAAAGGTGCCGGCAGGGCAGAGCCCATTGCTATATATCCAGGTGAAAGCTGGAAGCTGCAGGCTTTCCTTGGGGCGCTGGCAGTTGTTTGGATTTGTGCAGAAATGGTTTGTGGCACATGGAGTCCATCAGAGGAGGGTAATACTGCCTGTAGCAGAGGTACGCAAGCACGAAGCCGATTGCTGAGCCAACCAACACATCTGTGGGCAAGACCAGAGGAGAGTTAACTTCCCTTTACCCTCACAATCCTTGTCAGTGAATTCTCCAGCAGGCAGCTTTTCAGCCTGCTCAGAGCTGAGCTGGATTGGCGACTTGACCCATGGCTCTAAAACTAAGCTTGGCACGTATTTCAAAAAGAAAGAGAAAGGCATCATCACCTTACAGGCAGCAAAAAAATTACCAACGGAGGAGTAATCAAAAAACCCAGGTTGCCATCACGGGCTCTGAACTCCTCTGCAGAAACACGGACCCTCCCCGTGCTCAGAGTGCCCCTGCTTCGGGGCACTCAGTTGTGCCCCCCATCCAGGTCGACAGGCAGAGGCCGACCCACCTTGCCAGTGGTGCTTGTAGTCGCAGGTGCGGGACACGGCGATGAGGGTGGCGAGGAACAGCGGGAGGAGGAAGGCACAGAGCCGCAGAGCCCTGCCTCCCCGGCCGGGAGCAAAGCAGTGCAGCTTCCCGGCTATGTAGAAGGCAGAGAAGGCAAGACCAGCGAAGGCGACTGAAAGAGAAGCACGTCGCTTCAGAAACGGCTCCAGGCTCCGCTGTGGGGCCTCAGCCAGACCTTCACCCTCTCCCCTGCTGCACTGGAGGGGCTGAAGGAGGACATCTGTCCTGCCCACATGACCCAAGGGAAGCACCAGATCATGAGCGAGAGAGGAGCTGTAGAAGCTGGTACTTGGCAAGCATCCCTCCTCCCAGGAGTTACAGACAGCTTCAGATTACATTTGTCAGCCCATTGCTTTGCAGAGGTAAAGCTGAGGCCCCCAAACAGGCCAAAGAAGGCAGCCCAAGCCCGGGGGTGCATGACAGCAAACCGAAGCTGCCCTCCCCATGGGCTTCTGCTCACTGCGGTTCACTGTCTGGGGCTGCAGCGGGTAGGGGACGTGGAAAACTTACACGAAGCGTGTCCACTGGGGAAGCTTTTGCGCCCCTCAGTCACTATGCCAGGGTCGCCTGTGCACATCAGCTCCGCGTTCGCTCGTCCGTCTGGGAAGCATCGATAGAAGAAGTCTGGCCGTGGCCTAGGGCAGAGAACAAAGCATGTAGCCCTCGGGTGTGCAGCGCTCCCAGCACGGTGCTCAGGAGACACCTGAGCACCCAGCCCTCCCGCGGAGCACCCACGTCTGAATGCAGCTGCCAGCCACATCACACAGCTCCCTCCATTGTGCAAAGGGAAGGCGGCATGATCCAGGCTGCAAGAAATGCACAACTGAGCTTTGCGCCCCACTCCACTCCTGCCTGGGCAGGCAGGGCTCAGCAGACGAGAGCCAGGCTGCAGCAGTACACCCTCACCAGCCCGCTGCTACTCGGCCAGGACCC